AAGGTGTGGAGAGTTTAAAAACACAGTGGAGCACTTGCTGTATTACCACATGACATCACAAGGTGGAACAGAGAAACAAAACACAACTCCGGGTGTGTTTTTGAGCAAGTAGCTGCATTAGAACACGGCGTAAAGCTCACAAGAATCTATTTTGTGTAATATAGGACCTTTAAATACATCACACATGGAAACACTAAAACTCTCTTGACACATTTTAAAGTTCAACCCCAGTAAATCTTCTTTTTAGAGAAGTTCCATACCGTGGCCACCAGATGAGACACACACACACGCACGCATCTAATGAATCAACTTTTATTGGCACTCATATGGGCTGCAGTTTTCATATGGGGTGATGAAACCGATGATTGTCCAATGTTCTGTCTCGGAGACTTGATAAAATGCCTGGAGAATCATTATTTTGCTGCGGGCTGGTTTATGCGGGACAAAGAGGGCGCACAAACAAGACTTTTATTAAGATAAAGGAGAAGGCTTCAAGGAGATCCACAGAGGAGGAGTGAGCCGGATGCCTGCATATGCTTTGACAGACATTTGACAGAGCACGGACCAAGAGGGTAATATTTCAAACGGGGCAATAAAAGAGACTAATACCTCTTTTGTGAATAGTCAACGCAATCACTCAGTTGCAACATGTGGTGTTTCATGACAGTAACTTTTATCAAACTTTTTTCTTTGCAAGAACTGAACAAAATGCAAATTCAAAGGTAAAGTTTCACCATGTACTGAATTTTTTGGACTATAAGTAGTTCTGGAGTATAAGTCGCACCAGCCAAAAGATGCGTAATGAAGAAGAAAAAAAAAAAACATATATAAGTCGCACTTTTTTTTGAAAATTTATTTTATAAAATCAGAAACCAGGAACTGACATTTCATCTTGAAAGGCAAGTTACAGTAATAACAATAGAACAGAACAACAGACTGTTAACGTCACATATGAACAGTTCTTCAGATATTACAGCATAAACAGCAGAACAGAACAAGTTTACCAAACTGTCCATCTCACTCCAAATCACTAAATTCATTGAATTCTTCATCTCCTCTGTCACTTCTGAACTTCTCTCGAGCTAAATGGGCGCCGCTTCCTTCCAGTCTTTCTGAATCCCGACAGGATGGTTTCAGTTGTCTCTATAAGTTAGTTAAAATTTTTAATTTTCAGTGAAGTAATGGTGAGAACGACTGACATGATACAGACAGGACAGAGGCTCTTTCTGCAGGAGACATGTGCAATAGAGTGACGTGACAGTGATGCAGGAGGAATAGGAGTGGCAGATACTGGCACACAAGCCTTGACCATCTCATGGCTGTCAATGTGAACATTTTAATATATAAGTTACACTGGAATATAAGTCGCAGGAAACACCCAAACCATGAAAAAAGTGTGACTTATAGTCTGAAAATATGGTCATATTTAAACCAATTAACATTATTTGTTTCAAATGTTTTTATAGCTCAAAAATACCATAGAGGTGCATTGTGGAACTTCTCTGGTGGAGGGTCTGTCAAATGCTTTTCTCCATGGAGATGCTATTGCTTTGTCTGGAATGTTTCACAGTATGGCATTAAACATTTTTATCATCATGGAGACCAAACCAGACCAAGTTACAGGTCAGATCTGTGAAAAAAAAGATCCCACTCACAAACAGAATGCCTGTTTTTCTAGGTATTTCTGAGCTGTAAAACCACCTGTAATTGAAAAAAAAAAAAAAAGTAAGTTGTCATACTGTGGAACATTCCAAGCAGAGCAATCTCATAACCATAGAAACAAACAGGTGATGGACCCACAACCAAAATGTTACATAATGCACATTTAAAACATGGATTGTTACTGATAGCAGTTTTTTCCCCCCATATTTTTCCATAGACAGTTACATTTTTACATAAATATTCAAACAGACATTTTGGCATTTATTTTGATTTACACTACCGATCAAAAGTTTTAGAACCCCACACTTTTTCCAGTTTTTTACTGTTGACCAAAGCATATTTTAATCTTTTGATTCATGAAAGTGTCCACCTTTGGCAGATTTAACAGCTGAACACATTAGTGAACACATAAGTTGTTCTTTTTACAATAGAATCAAATATTCTTCAGAAAGTTCTTTCCAAGTCTGTTGCAGAAGTTCATCCCAAACCAGCTCGATGGGGTTTAAGTCTGGAGTCTGTGCTGGACACTCCATGTTTTCAAGTTTTACCATCTTGTTCTTTTTTCCTGAGGTAGTTTTGGCAGAGCTTGGACTTGTGTTTTGTTTTCTTCTATCTTTTTTTTTAACCTCTGGCTGTTCAGTTTTTACCTTTGTACCATTTCAAGCTCTTCATTGGACTTACACGACTTGAATTACAATAAATAACTGGAAAAATTTGGGTGCTCAAAACTTTTGACCAGTACTTAATATATTTGTGGCAATGTAAAGAAATTGCACATTTCATTGATATCACAGCAGAGCATTTTGAGCTTTGTAGACAGATTAATAATAAAGGGTTACTCAAACATGCGTGAATGAAACAAAACACAACTCCAGGCATGTTTTTGATGAGATAACACATTATAACATGGCTAAAAGCTCAAGAGTCAATTTTGTGTAATATAGGACCTTAAAAGAGTAAAAAAACAAAAAACAAAAAAACATGCAACTAGTTAATTTCAAATGGTTTGCAGTGGTCCAAAGTTCTTCCTCACTTACCTTATGCATTTGTCAGAACTTTCAGACAACAGAACAGAGTTTACGGTGACATTAAAGTTAGCAACAATTAACAATGCTTTATATATAGATGCAGAAAGAACACAAAACTCTCTCCAAATAACTACATCTTTTTACTGCTTACTTTTTTGTTGCTTCTTCAAGTTTTGTATTTTTGTCTTTCTTTGAACTATGAAGAGTGTTTGAGTATTGTGATACATATGTTATGTATAATTATGATTATTATTATATTACTTTCATTAAATGCGCACTATGTAACTTCCACGGTGGAGTGTCCAGGGATGTTATTTCTTTGCCTGGAATGTCCCGTAGAAGGGCATTAAACATATCTCCCTTACATTTGTCCAATTACCGAATTTTCCGGGCGATTAGCCACGGTCTTAAGCCCTAACCGCATCAAAAAACGACCACGCGCCCCGCAATCCCGAGCACCTCATACATGAATCCACTCGGGTGTCCCAGCACGACTTCAGGAAATTATAAAGCCGCTCCACCCACAGAACACACAAACACACACAGAGCAGACAGCGACCGCACAGCGAAACACACCCATAGACACACTCATCACTCCACACCGATGAGGAACGGAACGAAGGAACGAACTGAAAACGCGAGTCCAATGTGCCAATCTGAGTCACAACTGACCAATTGAGTCATCGCGACCGATCCAGCGGCCCCAGCGATCCCAAACAGCACCTCCCTACACGCCACAATTGAACAAAGCCCAGAGTCACCGTGAACGCGCCAAACAAAGTCCGACTGACCCATCGAACTGTTGTGTTTCGCTTAAAGTCCAGTGCGGTTTATTTGTGAAAAAAGTTTGAAAATATACATTTAATGAGGTGTTTTATAGCTCAAAAATATCTTAAAAAACACAAATTCTTACCATGTGCAGGCTTGCTTCTCCATAGCTCTGACCATTAACCTGTCTCCGTTGTGATGACCAAGTTTCCATAGAGTAGAATAATGAAGGCAAAATGGTAATATTTCCATGGAGACAAGCAGGTGGCAAACCCTTTACTAGAAAAGTTACACAATGCACCTTTAATTGTATACCTGATTTTTAATTGGACATTTCCTGGAAAAAAAAAAAAATTAAAATAAATAAATCACCCGTCAAAGCTTTGCCCTGGCTTTTTTTAACACCAGCATGGCCGTGTTCTGAATAGCAATGAACTCTCCGTTTGCCCAGTAGCTTTGAAAAATGAACTTTGAGCAGTTGCAGTAATACAGAACAATGGAACAAGTCATCAGGGGTGGACAGTCCAATGAGCTGTCAGCCTAATTATGCTCCCTGCACCAGCCCAGCCACCCACGGGCACCCACCCTTCCACCGGCTCACAAGGTCACACCTACACGGCCATATTCAAACCAAATTAATTTCTATTCTGCAATTTTCTTTCTTTCCTTAAAAGACCTTTGATGCCCTCAGGAAAAGTTGGTATAAAGCTTCAAAAATGATCTTGTGTGGATCTGGGGTATCACTGTGAAAGACAATTCAGAGTAGTGTTAAAGTTCTTCTATTACGCAAAACTGACTTTTCTGAGGTTTTGGTAAAGTTATAATGTTGTTACGTCATCATAAACATATCTGGAGTTGTGCTTTGTTTCTTTCACACGTTTGAGTAATCCTGCATTATTAGTCTGTCTACATCTCCAAAGCTCAAACTTCTCTGTTCCACCTTGTGAGGAAACAACATTATAACATGGATCAAAAAATAGGTTAATATTTGCCCTTGGGTTAAATACATTGCGGATTAAAGTTTATTTCTTTTTTTATGCTATGTATACACCAAAGAAAACCTGATCTGTTTATTAAAACAGACAAACACATAAAAAAGTGCCCCCTGTAATCAAAACACTGTTCTGGCTGTGTTCCCCTCATTGGACAAATGCACCAAGTGTGAACAGTAAGTCCTGAGCTGACTCTGACACAGGCAGAGAGCAGGTGCTGTCACTTGTATATACACTGTATATATACAGTCTGTTGTCTGTGGTACTGTATATATACAGTTTATGGTACAAACCTGTCTGTGTCTTTAAGCTCCTCCTGCAGCAGGACTCTGCAGGAGTGACTCCATCACAGAGAAGTGATGGAGTCACTCCTACAAAATGAAGCCAGGACCAAAACAACACTTTAACATACCACGTGTAAACCTGTTGCATTTGGCAAAGCCAAAGTAAAGGACTCATTCACTTTCTGAATCAGGTTTAGCACCAAAACACAAAAAAGTAAACATTTTACATTAAAAATGATTTAATAAAATTATTTCATATGAATAAATCAACACGATAAGTGTTTTCAGTCAAATCAGTATTGGATTTCATCAGGTTTATTCAAATCTATGTCACTAAATTTGACATAATATATATGTGCTTTGCTGACTTACTGTCATAAGAACTATTCACCATTCAAGAGATTAAATTGAATTATTATTGCTATGGCAACAGTCCTAATTTTTCATCACTCTGATGCTGCATTCTATTGAAAGTCGGTAGTGAGTAAATCCGATTCATTTCTCCCGACATCTGTTGTAAATGCATTCTGTTGCAATAGTCGGGCAAATATGGATGCCCGAGAAAGTTAATGTTTATTTTGTTAACTTATGTAGATAACGTCAGGTATCGTTAGCTCCTAGTCGGTTTTCCTGGAGTCCTGAGCACAGTAGAACGCAGCACGATACCCACAGATATACTAAATCTGACCAATCCTGACTACAGATGAAGTATCGCTGGATTCAGTAACTTCTACCTTTGACCTGATTGTTATGGGATGAATTTACATTTCAGTGGTTTAGGAGAGATGTTATTTTAGAAGCAAATATTTTATGATGAACATTAACTTTCTTTTCAAATTAACATTGATTTATATATATGATTTGATTAGTACATAAAACCGTAAATATACACATTTGCATTTAAAATGCAGCAGATTAAATAGCCACGCTGTTCTCCACCTCTGCGGGGTCCAGGTACGTGTATGGGACGTCCAGGTTCTTGTTGCGTTGTCTGATTTCGACACTGAAGTTAACCAGTTCTTCTTGAAAAGTGTGTATGAGTAACTTTGGAGTGTCCTCAATGAAATGGACGTCAGGATAAGTCCCCAACCTGACCTGAGAAAGAACCAGAAACTACATCAGCTTCAAGGGAATCCCAAGACTGTCGAGATCTAAACTTAGAACTAAACCTGGATTGTAGACGGTGTTGGGAAGTAAATACCAGATATACTTATTCAGAATAGACATTTTGATTAAACCTAACTGGATTCCAATTGCCTGGGAAAAACACTCTCCAGCAAACACAGTACTTCAATACTGTCAGGGACGCACATGGTCTGTCCATATCAGGAAAATATAAAGGGGAAAAAAAAAAAATCACAGGGAACTGAAAAAACATTGTGCATTTCTGCAGAATGAATGAACCCAGAACTAAACTCTGTTAATCTGAGGTGAGATACATTTGATTTTATTTGTAAATGACGGTGACCAGTGAGTTACTTCGTTTCACATGAATAAAAAAACAAACAAATCTGACTGGATGATTACTATAAAACAGTTGTGATCAAAAAGATTTTCTACCCTGGTTGGTAAAGTTTTGATACTTACAAAGTCTGAAGCCCTTTTGTTGAGTAGCCACAACGCTGCCATGCCCTGGACAGTGGTGTCGATATTGGGCAGAGTCTGGAGTAGAGAGGCTTCAGTGGCAATGCCCTTCTTGGTCGGGGGAGGCTCCTGTAGAGTCATGGGGTTGTTGGGCATAAAGCCGCCATAGTCATACTGCAACACACAAGCAGCAGTTATAGAACATTACTCATGAAAACATCAAGTATGTCAGGGTCTTTAAAAAACAGTTTTAGGAGTCTGTGATGAATACTCACGCTCATGTTTCTATTCAACAAAAAGGTTGAAAGTGACTAACTGAAAAATTGTTGGCTAATTTTAGCTTGTGACTTCAGTGTAATTTGAGATGTACTTGTTTAACAGCACAAATCAGCTCATCAGTTGTAGTTGCAGGTAAATCAGTTGTTTCTGGTCAGATTGTGTTAAAACAAAGCTCAGATTTAAGTCAAACAGAGCAGTGCCTACAGTTAGCATTATACTTCCAAAAAATGTTGATGACATCACCTGCAAAGTATTATGCATATTATGTATTATTCGTTTATCCATCCATCTCCCATTTGGATCTCGGATATGACCTCATGGCCACGTTTCAACTGTTTTATTATGTTTCATGTGTCCAACTCGGAAAAAAACATGGACACTAACTGGAAAGCCGAGTACCAAGTGCTCCAAAAATAAATATGCGCTTTAACTATACAACCTTGAAGAAGAATTCTGTATAAATAGTATAATTCAGTACATTAGTGAAGTGAAAGCGTTGGTATCGCGAGATAGTACATTGTTTTGACATGTTAGCTAACAGGAAACAGGCTAAAAGCATAGGTGACATGACCAAACCCACAGGCAGTGATACGGACACAGTAAGATACTGCAGTAATACGAGTGACTGAAATTGTCATTTAAACCAAGAAGCATCCAAACACAATGAAAACAGTTCATACAAGTGACACTGGGCACAGCCATTGTGGATTCTATCTCAGGCTCCTCCGAGCCCTTCCAAGTTCCACCATCCGAGGAAAAGGGGCGTGTCAGTGCGTCACTAGGCAACGTCCACAGACCTCTGAGTCGGATGGATAAACAAACGCACCATTAATACAATGGCCTTTACCTGTCCACTGTTGACAGCAGCATGTTGTGCTGAGCAAGTGAAGATCACCATGGTGACAAACTTGACCATCTCCTGCACAGTGCTGAAGCTTTTAGGAATACCTGCCAAAACATCAACACACACACACAGATACATATATAAGCTTTTTGTATTAAAAATGTGATGCATTTTGATGTAGAATTATTTTACAGTACATAACTATAAGGTTGATTGATTGAGTCATATGTGCACTCTTCACTGCAGTGATGTTTTCTGAAAGTGTGTGAAGTGCGTGAGTGCAGAAGGAGCAGGGGTGAAAAAAAGCAGATTGGGACAGTCCACACTTTAGATGACCAGTGCACTGGCGTGAGGGAGTAAATATCTAACACTAACACGGTTGTTCAACTGCAGTTCAGTTAACCAGAAATCCACAGCCTGGAGCCCGTTAATCATCTGCTGAACTGGCCATAAACAACTCAGATCTGTATTATATTATTATTTTATTTATATGTATTTCATAATATTATAGTATTATAAAAATAAATTCCTTGTAAACAGTAAACAAAACTTTTCAAAAAGTAAAGCGCAGCACTAACAGTTCCAGCAATGAATCTTCATATTTTTGGCCAGAAAAAACAACTTGTCCACATTTAAGTGCAGATTTGCTGGCAATTACAATTTGCAATGACCATAGTTTTGCGAGAATTCACGTGGCCCTAACTATAAAGTGCTGCAGGAAACACTGCCACCCCAATCACGGACGAGTTCCCTTGTAAATATTGAAGAGCCGAGCTTTCGTGTAGCTGCACATGTAGTGGCGGAGTGGAAACACACACAAATTGTGCGAACTCACTCGTGCACAGTTCTGCACCAAACTGAAGTCCTGTACCAAAATAGTTCAACACGAATACATGTACCATTACACCCCTAGTTTTTACACTCGTGTTACTTGGACAGTCAGCATATTTATTTAAAGGTGCATTAGATAACATTTCTGGTGGAGACATTTTATCCATGGAGATGTTATTGCTGTGTCTGGAATGTTTCACAGTGTGGCATTAAGTCTTTCTATCTTCATGGAGACCAAATCAGACCAAGTTACAGGTCAGATTTGTCTATAAAACCACCTGTCATTTAATAAATGTAAGGTAGAGCTGTTTAATGTCAGTTTAATACTGTGGAACATTTCAGACAAAGCAATGACATATCCATAGAAACAAGCAGTTGACCCTCAACCATAAAGTTACATAGTGCACCTTTAACTGTTACGCCATTCCTTCTCATTGTTAGCACTCGCTGCCAAGCTGCAAATATGTTGTTAAGATATAATTGCTGCGCTGATTGAAAACTTCCTGGTGAAATTATTTTGGGGGATGGACTTGGCTGCAGTTGCTCCACATTCTTTGTGGCATTTTGTTTTGTCTGAAATGTGCTCTATAATTAAATGTTAACTAACTGATTGATTCTCTGGAAGAGCAGATTAAAACATTCTTAAGAATGGACACACCCTCGCACATCACATGAACCCACATTGAAGTGTGACTAGGCCTGTTGGGGCAGAGCTTATCTCTCAGACAGGAGGTGCCACCATCAAGTGTTGTGCAAGTTCACACTTTTCATGAACTAGTTCAAAGTTCAGTTCATTTAATTTTTAGGTGAGAAATGTAAATGAAAGGCTGAACTTATTTTTCAAACTGACTTCCAGTTTACAACAACTTTACAACATATAAACCATAAGCATTATAGAGCCACATCAGCCTATTTAAGATTATAATGTGTATAATGTGTGGCTTTGACACATTTGTCTTACAGCGAAGTGAAAACTTAAAACCGCATGGCTCATTTGCATAAACTGCGCTGATGCATCAGCTTCTGTCAGACTAAAGGACACGACTACATGTGTTCTTTCTGTGACAGAGGGATGTCACTGAAACTTTTGGAGGCGTAACTAGAATGCACTGAAAGTGGCTGAGGGCGGCTCCACTGCATGCGCTCAGCGTGTGTATGGAGCAGCTCGTCCTGTGTGTGTAGATTTCAGAAAATAGGATCCATCCTATTTTTTGACGCTTTACACAAGCATAGGAAGAGCATCTATTGTTGTGTTTGTGCGTTTACCATCAGCACAACGTGCTCCCAGGACAGTTCTGTATCGTGTGAAAGAGCCCAGGTCCAGAACGACTGTTGATTAGTGCTTTGAAACTAACTTTTGAAATCCTAGTGTTTGCTGTGGTCAGCCTGTACAGAAGGTAAATACCAAGTTTGTTCAGCTGTTAGTTTCACTGTGGACCTGATACAAGTGGCTAAACGCACCTATCAAGACTTTCCCATTGACAAACACAGAACCAGAGCAGCCCCTGTACGTCCTGCTGCAGCAGCCTGTGGAGCCGCCTTCCACGTTGACGTGCCGCTGTGGTTTGTGGCTCAACTGCATGCGTATTTACACTCGCGTAGGACGTATTTTGCCCTACGCGCTGCAACTTTTGGACGCGCAAGTTTTAGAATGCATGAAAAGTGAATGAGGGCGGCCCCACTGCATGCAATAGGCACGCGTATGTCCTGCGCGCGTAGATTTCATTGAGAGGTTAGGCACGTAAACGCTGACGCATGCGGTGGAGCCGACAACGCTGATGAGTGCCCTTGTCACTTGACTCATCAGGTGAAAACTAATTCTGAAGTTGAATTGAACCCCAACAGTGACGTACGTCATTCATCTCACATAATTTGAACAAATTCACGTTCAAGTTCTTGATTTATAAATGAGTTGCGTTCAGTTCAAAGTTCACAGAAAAATGTACGTGCTCAGTGAATGCGTTCGTTTGAACTCGTTCATGAACGAACAACACTGAAGCTAAGTTACAGGTAAGGTCTGCGCAGAGGTGAGCCAGCCACCAATAATAATGCATGTTTTTAAAGCACATTTGAATATTTAAACACACTTGTAATATAATAATAAGTTTAAATAAATAAGTTTAATGTTATATGGTGGAATATTCTAGGGACAGTAAGCACATCTCCATGGAGAAAAGGACCCACCATCAGAAAAGTTACATAGTGCAATGTCCTTGGCATAATCTGTGAGGAGTCTTCAGACTGTCTTAAAACCTATTTGGCTGTGGTTGCTAATGTGGGCATTGTGTCTCCATGGTAACTGGTGAATATTCCACCAGTGCATATACATGTACAACACCCCAACATGATGTCACTCACCTGAGTTAGACTGAGACAGAAATCCATGTTCATAAATGTCCTGGATCCAATTTTGTAGTTCTTTGTCCTTTTTGACGTCCTTGTCTTTCTTGTAGTAGAACTTCAGCACTCCTTTCACAAACCTGAAATGGTGTTTTACAGATTTATTCTTTTTTTTTTTCCCATCTTACACTTCTTTTGAAGCAGATGAATTGTGTAAAATGTACTTTACAGCTCTCTTCAAATAAAAATATCACTACAACAAACAAAGAAATCCACATGCTCCAAAGTGCCACATCGAAGAGCTGTATAAGGCCATGTGGATTTTCTCAGTTGGTAATACAACTACCCACTTAAGTATCTTGCTCAAGGACACAACAGCCTGTAGAGTCAGAGGTTGACTCGCAGTTGTTAACGGGCATGTATCTGATTTTTACTTGTCTATTTGAGCAAAATGTGTTTTGCCACAGTACAAATATTGGCCTATTAACTCTTCAACCCTTTAACTCTTCTTTTTTCAGACATAAATATTTTCTCCACTGATCCACTTTAACTTTTTTTTCTATTTGGTAATATGACTTGACTACGACTACTTCAAAGGCGCATTGTTTCTATGGAAATGTCATTACTCTGCCTGGAATGTTCCACAGTATGACATTAAACAGCACTACTTTACTTTTTTTTTTTTTTTTTTTTTTTAATTCCAGGTGATTTAACAGCTCAGAAATACCTAGAAAAAAGAGAAGAAAGGCATTTGGTCGACACTCCACCAGGAAAGTTACACAATACACCTTTAACATTATTACAAAAGTTTTTTTTTAGTTTTTTTTTAGAGCATTTATTCCAAAATTATAAAATTAATATCATGATAAAAAAAAATCTCATGAAATACCTGTTTTTAGTTAAATGATTGTATTTTCCTTTCTCCTTCTTAAGAGATACAAACTTGGCAACTCTCAGTTACACTCTTTTATACTCTTGGCTTGTTGCCAATTACGCAATCAGCTTTATTAATTACACTTTATGACAGACTGATCGTTGTCTTCTTGTGTTGCATTATGCAGTGTGTAGTAATCTCAACAAAAACAACACTGGGGAACAATGCAAACTTTTGGTAAACATGACAGAACTACCACTTTAACTTACCTGTTTGATGGCTGTATTCCAGTTTTCCCTACTTTGTCTTTCTATTAATGGACAACCTTTTTTATCAGCACCTTTAATGATGTAACTTTTGGTTGTTGATAATCACCAGTTGGTTGCCAAGAGAGAACTCAGTTCAACAGGAAGTACAGAGAGATTCCAAGGAAAAGGTAATCTGACCCAAAGATAATGCACCTAGGGTGACTTAACACTAAATTAACCATTTTGCCAGTTAATTGTAAATTTACTTTTAATAGCACTGAGTACAGTTCTTAGTATTGATGCAACGATACTGGCTTCAAATATTGGCACCGATGCTGAACATTTTGTGTGTTGCTGTGGGTACCGGCTTCCAAATATCGGTTCAGCTGATATCCTGGATTGGATATAATAATGTATGGATGTAATAATAATATTTAAAGACTGATTTTGATGATAATGTTTGAACTTTCATTCATGTATTAATGAGATAAATATCAGCAAATATTTAAGTCAAAATATTGTATCTGAACTGTAAAAGCTAGATTAGTACATTCCTACTTCATAATCATTTTTGTTTGCAATTTTAGCGCAAAGCAATGAAAATTTGCAGATTTGTGGTATAAAGCAATCTAAAAGTGTATGTGCCTCTGCCCTGATTAGAGCCTATTAGAATAACCTGTCAGTCCAATCAGTTTAGGTGTTTCATCTCACTGCAATAATGAATACAATGTAGAAAAGATTACTTGTGTATGATGTCCCAAAGCTTGAGTCCGTCGTCTCTGTAGTAGTAGTTGGGCAGAGACTCCACTCCTCTGTCTTTGATGTCATCAGGGATACACAGGGAGCGGTAGGTGACAGAGGACAGGGACCTCTGCAGGATAGTGTACATACCCTTTCCGCCAGATGACGCAAACTACAACATTATAATAAAGTTAACATCAAACAACACTTTAGTTGGTATTTGAAGCTCATGTGTGTTTTACCTCTTCCGTGAGATAGTACCTGTGTTAAAGGGACCATATTACATTATTTTCTCCTCATTGGCCATGTTTACATGATTTGAAAAACATGATTGTTTTTTACTTCCGAATTCATTATTCCGAATTAAATATTTTGGAATTAAATTATTCTTCTTTGAGTTTACATGGAAATAAAAATTCCAAATTAAGGTTTACATGGAAAACGTGTAAAATCGGCTTTATTTAATTCTGCTCAATGTCTGGTGTTGGGAAAGGTTCTGATTGGGCAGGGACATGAACGTATTTAATTCTACCGGAAGAAAACAGACACTTTAGCTGCTACCGGCTTTTTTGTCATGTCAGTTTGTTGTTATGCATGGGGGAGCGTAGCACTGTTACCCAGTACTGCTGTTCCCCCATCCATACAAACTGGGAAACAGTGGTCCAAACCCAGACTCCTGAACCAGCAGGAAGAAGCTCCGGTTCAGGTCAGGCCCAGATGAGCTGGAGCGGGGAGTGGTGTTAGGTGCCTCGGGCTGAGAAGTGCTTTCCCCGGGAAGAACCAAGTGCGTGGAGGATGGAGCGCTCAGAACAAGATGTAACAAACCAAACAGGATTCACACTTCTGTCTGGATGTTTTGCACCACCTTGGAACCAGCCTCAGTCCTTGAGCACAGCAGACAGGAGCAGCCCACCCAGACCTGTAGTCTACACTGCATTCTCGCTTACATCACACAGATCCAGTGTGCAGAGGACGGCACGGAACCGCTCAGACCAGTCCACTACGCACTGGTCTTGCTCGTGCCTGTCTGGAACCAGTACAGGAAGGACGATGAAGCCTCTGGACTTATCTCATGTCAACAAGGCATGCGGAGGACGGCATAAGATCAAGGAGGGGCTGCGCGCTATGGTGAGTGCCACTGTGTCTTTACCACTGTGACCCGAACTCAGAGCCTCTGCTCCCGGCTGATGTGCGGTGAGTTGTGTGAAAAGTTATAGGCTTCATGCTGCTGTTTTAGTTCATGATAACTTGGGATCGGTACCTTTCACAATTGGAGGTACCGCTGTTTCCCCGGGAAACATAGGCACCGAGGAATAGAGGTACGGGGAACACCGGTACCGGGGAACATCGAGCTGACCCAGACACAAACATGATACAAAGTTTTTTCACCATCTTGCAGTGCGTCATCGCGTCAGAAGGGTGACCCAATGAGCACGCACTGAAGGACCAGAATTATTTTTAACAGGAATACATGTTTACATGATCGCAGAATAAATTAATTAATCTTTAAAATCGGAATAAGACACCCACCTAATGTGGATTTAAGAATAATTCCGAATAAGTTTAATTCCAAATAATCATTAGGAATTAAGTGTTTACATAGTCTTTTTAAAGCGGAATCAATTTTTATTCCGAATTAAAAAATGCTTAATCAGAATTAAAGCTCTCATGTAAACGCGGCAAATGTTATAATGTTTTTTCCTCATCAAAAACACACACTCTGCATATTTAGGCTGAGTTCTTCTCTCAAACTAAAAACATGCTGTTCCACCTTGTGATGTCATGTAGTAATACAGGAAATGCTCCACTGTGTTTTAAACTCCATGCACCTTCACTGGAATCATTTGGATGTTTTCAGTCCCCAAATTGCCAATCTCTAATGAGTAAAAGTTAAAGGGTAGATGTTAACTTGGAAACCACTACCTGACATCACAAGGTGGAACAGAGCACTTTGATGTTTGGAGATAGACAGACTAATAATGCAGGATTACTGCATTATGTGTGAATGAAACAAAACATAACTCCAGATGTATTTTTGACAAGATAACAGCATTCTAGCTTGGCTTAAAGCTCACAAGAGTCAATTTTGAATTTTAACCACATCCACCTACTTGTGCAAAGGTCCCAGTCTCTGATATGAACAGGCGTTTGGCCAAGAAGTTGATCTGAAGAGTGTAACGTGTGTGGGGAACAAGGAGCTGACGGGAGAGACCACAGGACATAACGGTTAAAGTACTGAACATAATCTCGCCTTGTGCTTTTCTTGAATCATGTTACCTTGTACAGAGGATGGACCATTGGCATATTTCTCAAAAGGGACACGGAGAAGACTTCAGCGAGCAGATGAGTGCGCAGGAAGTGCGCATTGAGCTGCTGTTCATTAAAATCTGCACTTCTCACAAAGGTCTTGGCCAGTAACCAGTCGTACTCTTCGTCAGCAGGGACAAAGATGGGGTTGTCTTCTGCTGGAGTCTGTTTGAGCTGTGAGTAAAAAGATTTGCAATTTTATTTATGAAAAACTGATGAATATTCGGTAAAATTTTCCATTTCTATTGATAGTTTGCAGTGACATCATACTGGGGTGTTCAGCAGATTATTATTATTTGTTTCTTCATTTCATTCATAAAATATAAAAAGACATCAGTGGTGTCATAACATTAAACATACAAGAAATGAATGAAAAGGACCAGAAAGAAGAGTAAGTAAAACAGTAGCAAACACAGCCAAAAAAGTTTTGAGATGATCTGACAATTCAAGAAAAATGCAAAATGAATATTTTAACATATTTTCAAGAGTCTCTGATCAATACAATACAAGCATTCATGTTCCAGTTTAGGTGTTTCAGTTTCAACAAAAAAAGTTGAGAGTGAATAACTGAAAAACTCAGCTGCAAAGTAACTATATAAAAAGAGATTAAAGTGATTTGTCAAATGATTTACCTGGATGGCGATAGGCTTCAGCTCATTGTCAGGAGTTTTGTGCAGAAGAACAAGGGGAGCCACCAAATGCTGCTTTTTCCCTCCAATAACATTGGTAATTACTCCATCCAAGTTCTTGTAGTCACACAAGTAAATGTTTCCATCCTGTTTAAAACATAAAAACACACCAGTTTACACCATTTATTTAAGAACATAAGATTTGTTTAGTAGGCTGTTGTTGAAATTCACCTTCATCTCTTTTTTCAGGCTTTTTTCACCATCGAAGGCTGTTTTATCGACGGGGAAGTTCGTGGGCAGAACGGTGCAGCGTCGAATCAGAATGGGGTTGTTTCCATTCAGGTACTGGTATCCAAAGAAAGCATCTTCTCTCCAGTGCTTCTTCACATACTCTGGGCATGGGTCATACGAGAATACAAGTCAAAGTTGAGTCTCCAGCTTCATCCAAAACTGAGACACACTGAACTCTAATCTAACAACAATTTTGACTCGAACCCTAATTTATGTCACATATATTGAGTGTTTAATAATGCGTCAGTTGTTGATGGCTATGGAAGATTTTGGAATCGTGGTCAAAGAATGAATCCTACTTTTGTTGTACAGGTTCAACTATATTTAGAAAAACAAACAAACAAACAAAAAAAAAAAAAAAAAAAACGGTTGATCTGCAAAATGGCATCTTGAAAGTAAGAGATTAAAGCTTGTACAGACATGCACAAATCACTCCAAATACAACTTTGGTTGAGTAAATGGCCCTAAATATGTTAAAAATGTGTTATATATAGTTGTTTTTGCAGTAGATTGCGTTTACCTCTGTCACAGTCTTTTATTTTGAAGGCCTGATTAGAGACAGGAAGTTATGACAGGAAGTCAGCCATATTTTGTTTTGTTTGCGCTCAGTAGCACATGAGTCCATCTTCTGCCTTCTGCCTTTTTGTTTGTGCCTTTGACCTCACTGTCTCTAAGTTGTGCTTTATACAGATAAGAATTATAATATCCTTGCCCTATTAGTAAAGGATGATTATTAGAAATGTGTTTTTGTTGAAGATTACGTATTTGTATGGTAGTGGATTGATGTCGTAGTTAAGCTAACTTCAGTTACATTTTGCTCTGTGCTAAGTACAGTTTTCTTTTCTGTTTTGTTTTGTTTCTGTTTTATTCTGATATTGGAACCATCTTTGTGGAGATATAAATTGGAGCTATGGACACTATATCGTGACTCTGTGCATGTTTCAAAAAGGGGTTGGGTTTCACGTGATGTCACAGGGCTACGTCTGTCAGCGCACAAAATCAGATGGAGGCCAGGAAGTGAACTGACTGGAGGAAGCTAGTGAAACACTGTTGCATTTTTGTCTGAAAAATGCCTATGTGTTGTGTAGTTTACGGTTGTGCCAATTGTTCTAACCAAGAGAAGGAAAAGCGATATTTTAGAGTACCGAATATAGTCGTCCACAAAGGTCACAAATGGGAAAAGCTGACAGAACAACGCCGTAAAAATTTGATTACAAACCTACGTTTGCAGTCAGAAGGAGCAGAATCCGCAAATGCTGGTGTCTGCAGTGACCACTTCAACAAAGGTTTGTTACAAAGCTAAATTGTTTTTGTGGTTTACCTAAACATAAACGAATCATTAACGACTAACAGCGTATGTTGACATTAAATAGTTCAGATAGATAGGTTATTTCCGATACACTGCAGTTTTTTCCATAACAATCTAGACACATAAAATAAGAGAAACACTCACCCCGGCAAAGACCAAACGATAATCATCACGTAGGCGTTTGCACCAAGGTTGAGGACCCATCCACTGACAAAAAAAGTTACAGTATATGCCTCAAAACTTTTGTACGCTTTCATCTGTTGTCTGGTGTAGAACGATGTCTGGAGAACTAGGGAGTTTGTGATATCCACTGCCTCGATTGTTGGCAAATCTTTTACTTCGGTCAAAAATTCACTCAATTTCATAAGATCACGTCCATTATATGTGTCAACTAATTGCCTTGCTACTGGCTCTAAATCCTTATAAGAACTCTTCTCCATATCTGTGTTCTCCATAGCCGTGTTTGTCGTGTTTGTCTTCACTTCCTGCCCTCCACCTGAAATTTGTGCGTCATCGTGATCACGTGACTGAAACCCTCTTATTGTGTTAGAGACACAAGGAGAGCAGAAAAAGCTATAACATGGTTAAAAGTGCTAAAAAGTGCATAATAGGTCTGCTTTAACTAACTTTTATTTATTAGTTAACTTTCATGTGGGGGTGTATGTGGCCAAATGGGGGTACACTCATCTTGGCCGGCAGAGGGCGCACCCCCTACTATCAAAATACCTCAAGAAAGGCGCTCTTTCTCTGCTGTCTCCTCTTTCCGCTTTCCTGTTGGCTATCCTGTGCCCAGGTTGTGGTCAGTTGCGTGTCCATCTTGGCAGGGCCAGGTAGATTGTTATTCTTTCCAAATTCATATAATCTGTAGTTTTTTAGTTGCCAATGTGAATTATTTTTAGTGTGGTTCGGGTTGTGAGGAAATGGCTCGCTGAGATATGATAATGTGCGTCCAGGGGTACATTCCTAGTCGTAGGTCTCTTTAGGTTAAACTATAGTGAAAACTAAGCCTATGTTCAGACTGCAGCCTAAAGTGACCCAAATCCAATTTTTTTCGCCCCTATGCGACCTGTATCTGATTTTTTAATGACAGTCTGAACGACACAGGTCTGATTTTTTTCAAATGCGACCCAGGCCACTTGGATATGTGCTCCTTGAAGGGGTCTTATCGGAACTTGGCAGTTTTTGAAATGATTGCCAAAGATATGGCCGAGCACAGGCTATGGACGGTCCTGACTCCAATATCAACCAAAAATAAAGAGGCTGCGAGCCAAATGCAAAAAGGCTAAAGTCACGAAGCGGCCGTGTACATGTAACCTGTTCATTTTATGAAGAACTGGACCGTATTTTGGGAGACAAGCTCAGCGTTTAGGCGACTTCTGTAAACAGTAAAGCTTGCTGTGTGTGAAGTCGTCATGTCCTCCAATGAGCATGCAGGACACTTTTGGGGCGTTTAACGTTCACACTGCAGATCACGTTCAGAAGCCCCTTATGATGAGTGCAACACAGAGGCCAGTTACGTCGCCCGGATTGGCGTCACCGGGGCCTCACCCTGGAGCCAGGCCTGGGGTGGGTGCTCGTCAGCGAGCGCCTGGTGGCCGGGCCTTCCCCCACGGGGCCCGGCCGGGCTTAGCCGAAGGAGCGACGTGGGGCCGTCCTCACGTGGGCCCACCACCCGCAGGAGGATCCATATGGGGCCGGTGCAGAGAGATCTGGGCGGCAGTCGACGGCGGGGGCCTCAACGACCGGATCTCCGGACATGGAGACTAGCTCTGGGGACATGGAATGTCACCTCGCTGGGGGGGAAGGAGCCTGAGCTTGTGCGGGAGGTTGAGCGTTACCGACTAGATATAGTCGGCCTCACCTCCACGCACAGTTTGGGCTCTGGAACCCAACTCCTTGAGAGGGGCTGGACTCTCCATTTCTCTGGCGTTGGCCGCGGGGAGCGGCGGCGGGCTGGTGTGGGCCTGCTCATTGCCCCACAGCTCAGCCGCCGTGTGTTGGAGTTCACCCCGGTGAACGAGAGGGTCGCGTCCCTGCGCCTTCGGGTCGGGGACAGGTCTCTCACTGTGGTGTCGGCCTACGGGCCGAACAGCAGTGCTGAGTACCCGGCCTTCTTGGAGTCCTTGGGAGGGGTACTAGACAGTGCACCGACCGGGGACTCCGTTGTTCTCCTGGGGGACTTCAACGCCCACGTGGGCAACGACAGTGACACTTGGAGAGGGGTGATTGGGAGGAACGGCCTCCCCGATCTGAACCCGAGCGGTGTTCTGTTATTGGACTTCTGTGCTAGTCACAGTTTGTCCATAACGAACACCATGTTCGAGCACAAGGGTGTCCATAAGTGCACGTGGCACCAGGACACCCTAGGCCGGAGGTCGATGATCGACTTTGTAGTCGTGTCATCTGACCTCCGGCCGCGTGTCTTGGACACTCAGGTGAAGAGAGGGGCTGAGCTGTCAACTGATCACCACCTGGTCGTGAGTTGGGTTCGCTGGTGGAGGAGGAAGCCGGAAAGACCTGGCAGGCCCAAGCGTGTAGTGAGGGTCTGTTGGGAACGTCTGGCGGAGCCCTCTGTCAGAGGGACTTTCAACTCGCACCTCCGGGAGGACTTCTCCCGGATTCCGGGGGAGGCTGGAGATATGGAGTCCGAGTGGGCTTCATTCTCGGCCTCTATTGTCGATGCGGCTGCTTGGAGCTGTGGGCGTAAGGTCTGTGGTGCCTGTCGCGGCGGCAATCCCCGAACCCGGTGGTGGACACCGGAAGTAAGGGATGCCGTCAAGCTGAAGAAGGAGTCCTATCGGGCCTTGCTGGCTCGGGGACTCCTGAAGCAGCTGACGGGTACCGGCGGGCCAAGCGTGCTGCAGCCCGTGCGGTTGCGGAGGCAAAAACTCGGAGCTGGGAGGAGTTCGGGGAGGCCATGGAGAAGAGATTCTGGCAAACCATCCGGCGCCTCAGGAGGGGGAAGCAGTTCTTCGCCAACACTGTTTACAGTGCGGGGGGAGAGCTGCTGACCTCGACTGGGGACGTTGTCCGGCGGTGGAAGGAATACTTTGAGGATCTCCTCAATCCCACCGTCACGTCTTCCGAGGAGGAGGCCGAGGCTGGGGACTCGGAGGCGGACTCATCCATCACCCTGGCTGAAGTCACTGAGGTGGTTGGAAAGCTCCTTGGTGGCAAGGCTCCGGGATTGGATGAAATCCGTCCTGAGTACCTTAAGTCTCTGGATGTTGTGGGGCTGTCTTGGCTGACACGCCTCTTCAACATCGCGTGGCGGTCGGGGGACAGTACCTCTGGACTGGCAAACCGGGGTGGTGGTCCCTCTGTATAAGAAGGGAGACCGGAGGGTGTGTTCCAACTATAGGGGGATCACACTCCTCAGCCTTCCCGGTAAGGTCTATGCCAGGGTACTGGAGAGGAGAATCCGGCCGATATTCGAACCTCAGATCCAGGAGGAGCAATGTGGTTTTTGTCCTGGCCGTGGAACACTGGACCAGCTCTACACTCTCCATAGGGTGCTCGAGGGTTCATGGGAGTTTGCCCAACCAGTCCACATGTGCTTTGTGGACTTGGAGAAGGCATTCGACCGTGTCCCTCGTGGTGTCCTGTGGGGGTGCTCTGGAGTATGGGGTCCGGGGCCCTTTGCTAAGGGCTGTCCGGTCCCTGTATGACCGGAGCAGGAGCTGTGTTCGCATTGCCGGCAGTAAGTCAGACCTGTTCCCGGTGCATGTTGGACTCCGCCAGGGCTGCCTTTTGTCACCGGTTCTGTTCATTGTGTTTATGGACAGAATTTCTAGGCGCAGTCAGGGGCCGGAGGGGGTCCGGTTTGGGGACCACAGGATTTCATCTCTGCTGTTTGCGGACGATGTTGTCCTGTTGGCTTCATCGAACCAGGACCTGCAATGTGCACTGGGGCGGTTTGCAGCCGAGTGTGAAGCGGCTGGGATGAGGATCAGCTCTTCTAAGTCTGAGGCCATGTTTCTCGACCGGAAAAAGGTGGCTTGCCCTCTCCGGGTGGGTGGGGAGTCTTTGCCTCAAGTGGAGGAGTTCAAGTATCTCGGGGTCTTGTTCACGAGTGAGGGAAGGACGGAACGTGAGATTGACAGGCGGATCGGTGCAGCTTCGGCAGTGATGCGGTCGCTGTATCGGACCGTTGTGGTGAAGAGGGAGCTGAGCCGAAAGGCGAAGCTCTCGATTTACCGGTCAGTCTTCGTTCCTACTCTCACCTATGGTCATGAGCTCTGGGTAGTGACCGAAAGGACGAGATCGCGGATACAAGCGCTCGAAATGAGTTTCCTCCGCAGGGTGGCTGGGCGCTCCCTTAGAGATAGGGTGAGGAGCTCAGTCACACGGGAGGAGCTCGGAGTAGAGCCGCTGCTCCTGCACATCGAGAGGAGCCAGTTGAGGTGGCTCGGGCATCTGTTCCGGATGCCTCCTGGGCGCCTCCCTCGGGAGGTGTTCCGGGCATGTCCCACCGGGAGGAGGCCACGGGAAGACCCAGAACACGCTGGAGGGACTATGTCTCTCGGCTGGCCTGGGAACGCCTCGGGGTCCCCCGGAGGAGCTGGAGGACGTGTCTGGGGTGAAGGAAGTCTGGGAGTCCCTGCTTAGGCTGCTGCCCCCGCGACCCGGCCCCGGATAAGCGGACGAAAATGGATGGATGGATGGGACTGCAGATCACACACAAGTCAAATTTAATTTGAAATGTGAATGACCCCGCAAAAAAAGGAGATTTCACAAAAAAAATCCAAATTGAGCTTTAAGCCCTGCAGTGTGAACGTAGCCTAAGTAGTGAAACTGCTGTCTTGCTTTCGCTTTAGTCCATTGTCTTGATTGCTTTTTAACATGTGTAACCGGGTGTTTGAACTATTCTGACTGTGGTGCGTCCGTGAAGGCGTCCACCCGTGCGTCGCTGTGCGTGGCTCCTGGCGTCATTGATTAGGCGATTAGAAAAGGCTGCGCACGCCGTAGTGGGGCAGTCGGGGCTTTCGTGGCTTGCAAACGCGGCACGTGTAAGTACCTGTTCCTTCAGTGATTAAATTTAAAGGTGTTGTCTGGAGCAGGCAGAGACGGCGGCCGCTCCTAATGCGCTCCCGGCCCCCCATGTAGATTACACCTATTCTAGAAACCACTTTGGTTCCTGAAACCTGGGATGCAATTATTTGGTTTGGTTTGATACATTTTTCTTTGTTGCATTATTAATTATTTTTTTGTGTGTGATTTGGTTTCAGTTGTGTCCCAGGTTTTAGTTCCCAAATTGTGTTGATTGTGTATCTTTTTTAAGAAAAAAATGTGTAAAATGAGCTCTTTTAATATTAACTAGAATAAAGAACCGTATATTTTTCCACTTTAATGCCTTTGTCCTGTGTTTAAGCCAGACTTACCTGTGTTGTAAATAAAAAAAATAAAAATAAAAGTGGGGGAACCCCCTTTGAAGCCCCCTCTCTGCTACACATGAATGTGAACTGGAACCATTAGTATAAACTGAACAATAATTACCCAAACTGAATTGTTAACTGCAAAAAAGTGAGTGAAGTAACTAAGAACTGAAGATGGAAACCTGTGTGCCTTTATTTAATTTAGCCTTTCTTATTTTATTTATTTTTCTGGGTTATACCCAGTGGCGTTGTTGGTTTATTTTCTGTAGTTCATTTAAATTAGCATTATATTTAGTTATATTTAGTCCACCACTCCCACATGTATAATAATTGTTACCATGTGCTATTAGCAGTTGAAAATACTCCCTTGGGTCAGTTCATGATATACAAATTATTTGTGATGGATATAAAGGAGGTAATTCAACATAAATGCCACATTTACCTGATATGCGTGTCTTCTTGTTGCTCAAGACTTTCTCAATGTCCTCAAATTTTTTCCACGGGGTGCTTTTACTGTCCAGTCCCATTAGGCTCAACTCTGTTATCCTGCAGAAATCAAGCCACCACTAAGTCTGTAAATAGACAAGTAAAGGCATATCTCAAAGTGTAGTTTACCCAGTGGCAGCCTTGAATGCAAACTCTTTGGTCTTTGTGAAGGAGAACTCGACCTCAGGCGGGAGAGTGTGGACACCTGCTGTTTTCATGCAGTGGGGCAGTCCATCAGCGTAATTATGCCAACTGAAAAAAAAAAACATTTGTAACTTCAATTGTGAAGAGAGACAAAAAAAAACAACAAATTTTTAGATGGCAATGGAAACTCAACTAATAGTAGAAGTGTTAATTATTATTATTAATTATTGTGCTAATGTCATAATGTAATTGTGGTTCTGTGATGTGCCCATATTACGCAATTGTCTGATCTATGTTATATTGTATGTTGGAATTGCCAATCTTTCCTGAACTAAGGGTAAAAGGTATCTGTTAACTTGAAAACTACCACTACATGACATCACAAGGTGGAACAAAGCAGTTTGAGCTTTGGAAATATAGACAGACTAATTATAAAGGGTTACTCAAACACATGAATGAAACTAAACACAACTCCAGGTCTGTTTTTGAAGAGGTAACAGCATTCTAACATGTCATAAAGCTCACAAGAGTCAATTTCAAGTAATATGGGACCTTTTTAGTACAATTTTACTTATTTGCAAACCCTACATACACTTTTCAGTATTCTTTAACTTAAAATTTGGTCTAACTTACCTGTAATCTTCCCTTCTTCTAGTCAGCTCCTGTTCACGACTATAGCTACCAAGATGGTGAGTGTCGTCCATTTCTCTCAGAGCTATGGAAAATCCACAAAATTTACTTGTATTTGTAGTATTTTGGGGGTTTGAAAAAGTACTCCAAGCCTACCTGTGCCCTCTCTGAAGCGGTGCACGTTGATGTCCTTGATCCAGCGGTAAACTGGAAAGATGTAGTCGACCTTCTTATCCGGACTCCTCACAGTGACTTTATCCACAAACCAAGATTCGGCTACCGAGAGAAGGCTTGCCTGTTTGTCCAGCTCAATCATTACGACTTTACCAATGTCAGCGTCAGTGTGGACATAGAAACTGGATGCCTGAAATAGGAATCAAAGGAAGATGATCTGTAACTCCCAATTAAGCAACATTAAAGTCAGTTCAAAAAGGGTTCAATCCAATGAAGATGCTTGTTAAAGGATCTATATTATGCAATTTTCTGATCTATGTTGATTCCTCATCACAAACATCCCTGGAGTTGTGTATTGTTTCATTCACACATCTTTAACATACGTATCCTGCAGCTTAGCTGAGCTTTTTTCAAACAGAAAATGCTCTGTTCCACATTGTGATTTCATGTGGTAATACAGGAAGTATTAAACTCCTCACATCTTCACTATAATCATCTGGATAATTTCAAACCTGGAATTGCTGATCTCTACTGACCAAAAGGTAACAGGGAGCTGTTAGCTTGAAAACTAAAACTTCATGACATCACAAGGTGGAACAGAGCATTTTGAGCTTTGGAGATGTAGACTAATAATAAAGTGTTATTCAAATATGTGCGCCTGAAACAAAATACAACTCCAGCTATTTTTGATGAGGTAACAACATTCTACCCATTTGGAAAAGGTATAGACAAGGGGTCGGCAACCCACGGCTCCAGAGCCGCATGCGGCTCTTTAGCACTTCCCTAGTGGCTCCCTGGAGCTTTTTCAAAAATGAGTGAAAATGGAAAAGGAATGATTTTTTTAGTTGATGTTTTAATTAGGGGTGTCACATTATCGCATTAATTGCGATTAATTAATTACATATTTAGCGCATTATCTTTTTTAATCGTGTTAATCTAATTTTTAATCTCTAACTTTACTGTTTCTGTATGAGAGTTGCTTTATTATAAAATCTGTTTTTATGTGTTGCTGGGACAACAACACACACACACACACAAAAAAAACACATTTATAATTTTTTTAATTTCGGTAATTCCACTCATTGCCGGAAACCCGCACAAAATGCGCGCAGTAAGAGCGATGTAAACATCATGTTAACGTTTGCGGCGTCAGTCGCACAATGGACGAGGTCGAAGAGCC